ATCTCAAAACTACAAATGCAATCAAAAGCAAATCGATGCAAAACACTCATCGTCAGCATCGATTACATCTAACAATTCTATGACATCTTCAACCAATGTCATACCGAAGCAATTACATCCGAGAATCATCTCTCTCCGTACAATGCACATGTGAAATGATAGAATGATGAACGCACTGACCTTATTATCAATGAGATTATGTAAAGCAATAACAGTTCGAACTAATGAGCCCATATAAACACACATCAATTCATCATTCGTCTGAACATTGTGTGATTCGACGAACTGCGGCGATGTCACGTCTGGTAATAAATTTAGCACTTCCTGAACACACGAAAATTATTTCTCATCCAAAGTTTTACGCAGAAACAAACAACTTCATCATAGATAATCACGATTATCAATAAACAATTATGAAAGTCAATTCATAAACTTCGCAAAAGGAAATCAATGGCATTCCTCAATAGATAAAAGTAAGCAATAATGCAAGAAATGATACTGTTCGTTACCTGTATGTAATAGATAACAGCATGATTGATCGGTAATTTCCCCGCAGCCACCTCTTTCAAATAGTTCTGTATTCCGGTTAATTGCCCATGCAGTCCACGCAAGCCCATCAATTGGTCTGTTATTCGCTGAGATAATGTGCCAGCCGTTTGGTCTTTTATGTCTCTTAAATCGCACTTTCATTCCAACTTCTCAACAGCAACGAGACGACAACTGCACAAACTTCGACGCTTACAAAAAAATTACAACCTCCCCCCTGGAGGGCTGGAAGATGTAAAAAAGGGAAAAATAAGAGAAAAAAGGAATGAAGGAGAAGGAAGTGGGAAAACGAAAGGAGAAAAGAATAAACAAGAGGGACACGGAAGTAAAAATAAACAAAAAGAAATAAATCCCAAAATCAGCTATTTTTCTGATCAGACCATTTTACACACTCCCGGGGAGAATTCTAACTACGCCACTGAGAGCACTGATAATCTTCTGCAATAATTCCAACAAAATAACACAAAACTAAAAATGACGCGAATGATTTTCATCGAGATAAGAGCAATAAAACTATCAATGAATACCTCAACAAATGCTCCACGCCCACTTCTTCTGCTTCTTCGGCACCAATCTCACTCGGGACGTGTTCGAAGGTCTTGATCGGTGGAGTTCCATCCTATCATAAATAAATTCCAATCATCTTACAAACGGAAATATTCTCATTTAAGTACAAACAAGGAAAAGTTATGACGGAAAAATTATGAATTCAAAAATGATTCAGAAAAAATTCAAAAAAGGCCAAATCACTAACATCATGAACTTCTTGAACTTCAATATATGCTTCTGTGGGCAAGCCAAGAGCTTTTGGTTCAGCTTCGATCACAACCAACACTGGATTCAATGTGAAACGTTTCAATTGCTCATTTATGGCGATGTCATTCTAAACTGAATCAATCATCAACACAACCTACTTCAGTTGATATCAATTCAAATCAAATCAGTTCATCTCATCGGCACGACAGTTAACTCCATTCAACATTTCATTCACACTCCACTTATCAATTCAAAACAATTATCCGAAATCCTATCAGGATACAGTAAAAGATTCAATCCATCATCATCGATCACATACAAATTCCTCACATTTATCATAAACCAATAACAAATGGATTTTATCTCGAGCTTAAAAATATCTCGACTTTGTGGTGAGGAATCAGTACGGGTCTTATCTATCACCGTTTATCAGAGCCCAGTGCACCCGTCGAAGTCTATCACTTTCCTACACTCGTATCTTCAAATAACACTGCGCTCTTGCGTGTATTGAACTCACCACTTTCAACGAACACTTAGCGAAAGCAACCGCTCGGCCACACCCCTTCCACCTTTACAACGCTCACTATGGGAACTAACTTAAGATAAGTGACACTGGAGGATTCAATTAATGCAATAACTAGTATTTCTATGATACGAATGAAATTGTCAGATAGCGGAAGTAGCAAGTTGAAACGCAAACCTGACAAAGTTTCGGTCCAGTGTGGTACCATCCGACGATTCGCTCACGTGCAGCAACCTTAAAAATAAAATTTTCGTTAAAAAATCCAATTCAAATCTCCATCTCAAAACTCATCTTAAGATGCGCCCTGAGAGTTTCTCGGCCTTTTTCGGGAAGTTTTCGTTTTCAAACAGAATTAAAACGAAAGTTAAGTTGATTTTGATTGTTTCTGAAAATGAATAAAATAAAGCTGAATATATACCTTGTGGAACATTCCATACATACTCTCCAGATAATCCATATCGAGGAACCACGTTTTCTTATCTTTATCGTCTTCATCAAATGGAACTGAAATTCAGAGAATTAAGAAAAAAATAGAACCATTTTATAAGCTACCATTTCTCTTCTCTCGTTCTCAGCCGATAGTGCCTCGGACACAAAATAAAACTCCAGCGAAACTGAATGATAATAATAAATAAATAAAACTGAATAAAAAAATTAAAAAAAACAATAAAACTGAATGATAATAACAAACCAGCTGAAAAAAATAACAAAATTAAAAAAAACTGAACGATAATAACAAACCAGCGAAACTGTTCGCAATATCAAGTGTACGATTCGGTTTCAGACTGCCCAACAGCACACCAACCACACGTTTCACATTCTGTGTTTTGCTGACACGATTGAAATGATCCACTACTGATAGAAGCACTAAAGGATGCACAACCACCTGCAAACCCAACAACATTCTTATTTACTTGCATATTCGTTAATGGAATAAAATCTTATGGAATTTCATCCCTTTGGAATATTACAGACGAACATTCGTTAATGAGATAAAATATACTGAAATCAATAATAATATTTAATTTTAATATAAATTAATAATAAATTTTATAAATTAAATTTTATATTTCATTTATATTTTATAAAATAAATTTAACATAAAAGATAAAATATACTGAAATTAATAACAATATAAATCTTATAAATTAAATATAAATTAATAATTTTCGAATATTTCATCGTATGATAGTAAAAATTAAATAAAAACTTCACTAAGCATTCAATTACTCATACAGAATCGTAACAGAAATTATTCTCAACAGATCAAACTTCCTTCTTAGAAATAAAAGTCAGTTAAAAATACGAAAAGAGACTTACTTTGCTAACAGGTAAATTCAAGTGCACACTACTGGCACAATGTGTTTTTCCAGTTTTGTCCTTAGTTTCGGTCGTTTGTCGTTCCACTCGAACTTCTTCGTCCCGCTTATGAGGTGACATTTAGAAAACACTAAAAACATAATCAAACATAAAAAAGAAATAATAATAGAGAATCAATCGTGTTTTCGCGAATTATTCACATCAAACTACCGATAAAATTTTATATCCACAAACACATAAAACCTATTCAAGCCTAATAAAACTTTAATCAATTTTGGTTACGGGCATGAAACTATGTAAAAGAAAGAAATAATACTTATGCCCAATTATACAACTATTAGCAGCATTATGTGAAAACTGAAGAGATAAAATCAGATCGGCAATTGTTTATTAAAGAAAATCATTTCATTGACACAAGAAACATCCGAAAAAAATTATTTCCGCATATCATTCAGGCTTAATCATCAATCCATACACTCATATTCATCTAATCTCATCAACTCCAAAGAAATTGCACCAACCAAATAGAAAAACTCGAAGAAATGAAATGGAAATAGATATTTTCCGCTGACAATTCGATCTAGTGAAACGGATGCAAAATAGCGACAATAATGCAAAACAGCAACAACATTACCCAATACGAAAATGCCTTCGATTAAGAATTACTTCATAAATTCTTTAATGATCGTCAAAACTATTGTGAAAACCAAATTACTATTGTGCTGAAGAAATCTCCTATCATATTCAGAACTACTCTCAAATTGGTAATTCTTCTGTCCAGATTGCTAAAATCATATGACATTTGGGTGTGTTCACATTCCCAAATCAGCCACGAATGCATACAAACACAGTGCCACTTTCATTTTAGCAGCCTAAACCATAGCGTTACCCTCGATTTTCAATAGCAATCACTTGATCGTGAATGTTACTTTATCCCACATTCTTGATTCATCTTTCACGATCTTATCAGTTTTTCTCATTTAGACCAATTTTCTTTGAGCTAAGTCAAGCAATTACGAACGATGTCATAGTTGGGGGCTGATACCCCCTATCTAATGGTTTCAATGGTTCTTCCATCTGAATTCCCAATTGAGGAAGCTTACATTGTCCGAGAGCCTTCCAAATAAATTACTACCAGAACATTACTTTGACATCTACTTAGGCGCTGTTGCGGTTCTATGATTGTTGCTGTAATGTGCGAACCGTTTAAGAAGAATTGCTTGTAATGAACAATCTTTTTTTTTGTTACTGACACATTTATCCTTTTCTGTTTGTAAGGTTCCCGGACTTCTTTCTTGAAGCAGTTCGAGTCCAATGCTTTCGTACACTTATTCGCGATCACAGATTCCCTTCCTCGTAGCAATTTATCACACATAACTTTTGAAACACAATTCAACTTTAAGGTAATTCTGCTGACCTCATT